AGTTGGAGCCCTATTTGTATTAGGTGCATTATCCTAGTCACATGATTAGACTCCAATAAAACCACAATAATTTGTTTTATAATTATGCATCTCAGTAAGTTTTAATCATACAACTCTGTAGATTTCACTCCCAAGATATAAACAGCAACAGATTGGAAGTCGAAAATGAAAAATTAAATTACTCGAATCAAGTTTTTTATAACCGCTCTATTTAGAGTGTCAAATTATTAAACCCCATCTTTTTCCAGTCTTTTCTATTATTTTTTCTACAGTATTCATTTTTAATCACACATTTTTTATTAAAATAATATTACACGCAAATCAAATTTTTTCATTCTTTTTTAACCATACATTTTCCATTAATTTACTATTCCATAATACATTACAAGAAATTAATGGGGCTCAGGGCTGAATTAAAGTTTACCTTAAACTGTTACGAACACATCAGACAATTTACTCTAACAAGTCCGTTTTAGCTTTTAAAAGGAAGTTCTACCAAAGATGTTGGTAATGATAGTATACACCTTTTGTAGGAATAACTCTTGTTGCGAGAGGGACGATTTTAAAAGGATGGTTTTTTGAAGCCACCCAACTAAAAACATGAGCAATTTTAACCCTAGTTTTTAAAAGATTGATACTTTGCGTCCTGTATCACTTGAGTTGATATCGTCAAAACTATAATACTATTTTAGATAGAAATGTTATTAAAATCATTTTTGAGGGATAGAAGTACATTTTTTATTCAGAGATGTTTGTACTAAGGCAAGGTTCAAATCCAAGGATAACCTACTTTATGCATAGAAACAATTTATTTTCAATTTTGTTAGAGAATTTTTTTATAAGTGGGGATTGTTGTATATCGTTCAAATATTTAAGATTGGGACGAAGGACTCAAGAGGGCCGAAAAATAGGTCGACAGCCCAAGCACGACCAGCACAAATTTTTTCTCTGCTGGTCGCATGGGCGCGCTGCCATTCATATAGTGTCAAGGCCGCAAGACTGACTTTTTTCAAACTTGAAACTAGCCATTAGGCTAGTTTTCAGGCACCTCTTCATCTTATTTGATGCCTTTTCACTAATAACCATGTTCCATTCATCAAAAGGGATGTCTTTCAATATAAATAGGATGATTTTCTATGATTGAAACATATAACATCTCTCAGACATGCGAATCAAAATCATCCAACCTTTATACAACTTCAATTTATTTTTCTTGAGTTCCTATTCCCGGATTTCTTTAATGCTTAAGCAATCCGGTTATAAGCTTAATAAATCTGCTAAGGCTATTTGCTCGGAGTCTTTAAAGCATCTTCGTTTCTAGAGAGAGCAAATAACGCTTTTAGAACTGCGGTCATTTGCGTTCATCCTATTCTTCTTCATTTCTTCTGTCGTTCGTTTTTGTGCTCTACATCTCGGTGATGTATATTAAAATACTATTAACTTTCATTTAACTGGAAGAAGCATTGCGCAATTTGTAATTATTTAAGCATGTTTAAGTTCAAAAAGAATGTTAGACTATATGCAGCCTCCAACAACATTCTTTATCGAGAAATTGGCTTGAAGAATCTTCATCAATATGGAGAAAATGATGAAGACAGATTTGGAGCATGTTTAGCCCTTAATCGACGAAATTAATGACTGGAAAATAAGAAGGAATTATGCAGAATGTTTGGTGAAGAAATGAAATGAAGCCTGATTGGACCTTAATTGAAGCTCACAAGTCACAGCTGGAGAATTGCATGGAACTTAATCGAGTTAATTTGATTATGTTAGTTACTCGTTCGTTTTTTTATTTTTTTTATTTTTATTGCAATACAATATTATTAAAGGGCTTGAGGGGTTATTGATTACAGCAGCTTGTTTTGAATAAATATTATATTATGTAGGGGAATTTTTCCAATCTTTGACGTCTCTCAGCATTTTGTATATGAATTAACATTGTTTTTATCTGATCATAAGTTGACTTAAGACTCGGTTGGTAGGCTTTTGCTTTTACTTCTGTTTCTTGTATAAAAACTATCTTAATTGATATTTGAGAACTCAAGGAACTTTTGAATGAAATCTTGTTGTGTCAACTTCCTCCATAAGCTCTTTTATGAGAAGAAATATTTTTATAAAATTAATCAAACAAATTTAAAAGCAATGTTTGAATCTCAAGAACTCACAAGCCATGTCGAATGGCCCTTAAACAAAGTCTCTAAATGCAGCTAGCTGCATAATGGCATCTTTAATTCTTTAGTGGCCAAAAACTCTTTGTCAACTCCATCATCAAAGTTGACTTGAAGTAAGACTCCAAAGTTAATTAGTTGCAAAATGGCATCTCTAATTCATTATAAGCCAATAACTTTTTGTCAGCTTCTCCCTATCTCTAAAGCCTGTTGCCTTTTTCTTGATCACATCTCACTGAATACAGCGAAAAGGTTGCTTCGTCGGGTTGAAAAATATGTGACAAAATAGTTTCTTATGCACAATGTTGTCAAATCCATTCAGAACTGTTGGGAAAAAAGGACAGATGCCAATAGTTCATAGCAAGCGACGGGGAGAATACGTTAAAATGTGCAAGCTGTGGTGCCATAGGAATTTCCACGTGAAGGTCTGTGAAGAAAGAAATGTCTATTTTTTTCTGATAATGTTTGGCTCTAATACACGAGGTGGTTCTCCTTCGGGAATTTATGTTCTAGTTGGTCTTAAATTTCCAGATTGTATTTGCACAATTCTTC